GAATGAGCAGGTGACTGAGCCTCTCGTGAACATGGATATATCCTCTTGTCTGTCAGGCAGCAGTGTATCAGTGATAGGTAAAGCTGCTAATCTGAGCTTGTTCTTTAGAGAGTGCTTCTGGATGTTACTGGCAATTACTTCTCCCATGGACTTTGGTTGGTTTAAGTGTTGGTAATAAATTGCATAGCTATGTGTGCTGTCTTGCCCATTCTCAGCATCATTACCCATAAGGATCTGTGGACTGGGAAAAGGTAGATTTTTTATTTGGAGGTTTGTATAAATTGTCTCTCATTCAGGCTGTGGCTTGGATAGCTATTTTTGCCTTTTCTGTCATACAGGAGAGTTGGGCCTTCCTGGCCAGAAAAGTAGAATGAGGAATCAGTACCTACCATGTTCAATTGTTATTTAAGCCCAACTTTTGAGTCTTACTGGACCTATGAATAGAAGTGACACCAGGTCTGCCTTTGTTCAGTGCTGTATATAGCAGTAAATTGTGAGAGGATAGTAGTTCAGACCTGTATTGTCTAGATTTATGATGTCTTTTTATTTTTTATTTTTTTCTTCCAGAGTGCCCATGCACTCACCAGAGAGAGAGAGAAAGTGAGAAAACACCCCTTATGGGGGATGGCCTCATCGAAGTCCCTTCTCCTTCATCTCTCCTTCCTTTTGGGATTTTGGGTGTGCTGCACACATGCCTAGCTTATTTTTTAGGCCATTATAAAACTGAGTAGTTAGCCATGTGGGATCCAGCTGCCTTAACCACCATACTCCCAGCTGGCCTTGTGTCTTCAATAAATGATCATGTAGGAAATTATTAGATATTAAAGCAGGCACTTTAATTCACAGAAGACATTTGACATCTTTGTCAACCTAATGGACTAGAAGCAAGTTGGTCTACAGTTTTAATTTGCTGTTATGTAGATGACCATAGTCACTTTTACATAATCTCCTTGACATCTTTCTCCTCTCAGCTGTTCTTGATGCTGCTGAAAAAATCTTGCTAAAACACTACATTGGTCATCAGGTCACAAGTTTGCTGTAGAACCCATCGTTTTCCTTATTGTGTCTGAATTTAGCTTTCAAGATGCTGTGTTCTGGGTCTACCCTATCTATCTAACTTCAAAGTCTCCGAGGTTTCAGGTTTTTTCTTTTGTGCCCTGGGTACATTTTTTTCTTTTTTTTTTTCTTTCCAAAAATTCTTCCCCTCTTCTCTTTACTTAGATAAGTCCTCCCTAATCTTCACTGCCCAGTGTAAGGGCTCTTTCTTTCCTGAGTCCTTCCCAGTCCTTTCTATTCACTCCTCTCTGAACTTCCATAGCCTTCACTATCATTACTGCATGATGTCATCTGTCATGATTAGCAGGCTCACACCATGTGATTTCGTGGAGTTCATGAGCTTTCATCCTCTGGTAAGAGCATATGATCTTTGTGTGAAAGTAGCTTATGTGCTCTTTCTATAACACATAGTACATAGTGGATGTTTGTATTTATTAATTAAGTGATGTGCATATAATGAGCTCCGTACACCCCTATTCTTTGGGTATTACACATTTTGAAACTATAGTAAAGATCAGTGTGAGTTATGGCTGGACATACTTGTTGTTGCAGTGGGATTTCATTTGGAGTCTTATTTGCAGAGATTTTGTGTTTGATACATGTTTGATATTCATGTAAGAAAACTAGTTATGGTTATAATGTAATAAGCAATATGAGAATGTATTCTTGATCTCTTCTGCAGTATATGCCATCCGAGAAGCTGCCACCAACAACCTCATGAAACTAGTTCAGAAGTTTGGTACAGAGTGGGCACAAAATACTATCGTTCCCAAAGTATTAATAATGGCAAATGATCCTAACTACTTGCATAGAATGACCACTTTATTCTGCATTAATGTAAGTATCGTATTAAAGCAATTAGTCATACTTATATTTCTCAATTCTGAATATACTGCTATCTATTTGGAATATATTTCTTACACTGCTGAGTAATTTGAACAGTTAGATGAAAGAAAATGTCGATTTCAAAATTGATGTTAAAATCAACAGTAGTATTTTAAAATAGCAATTTAGTTGTGAATTCTGGCCTAATTCTCTGATTCTGTGAATGCTACTGTATGTCCCTCATTCAGAGCCTCAAACTATTAGGTCGTTGGGAAAGTCATGACGTATTTTTCTATTTCCTATTCAAAAATGTGTCATGACTTTCCCGACTATCCAATAGAAACATTTTCTTGTTGGTCAGTTACTTTCTTAGTAAATACTAATTTGTCTTATTAGATTTGGAGGTATATATATATTTTTTTAATAAAAGTATTCTAAATGTGCTGTCTTCTTTTTCTAGGCACTATCTGAAGCCTGTGGTCAGGAAATAACCACTAAGCAAATGCTGCCCATAGTATTGAAAATGGCAGGAGACCAAGTAGCAAATGTTCGTTTCAATGTGGCCAAATCTCTACAAAAAATTGGACCAATTCTAGATACTGAGTAAGATTTTAGTGTTATTCTTGTTTTTTTTTTTTTTTTAAAGATTTATTTATTTATTCTTTCACTCAGTTTAATTTGACCAGAGAGAGACACAGAGAGAGGAGAGAGGAAAGTGAGAAAGCAAGCCAACAAGTCAAGAACTTGAACCGTGGTCGGCCATATGGGAGTGTCCAGTGCCTTAACCACCATGCCACCTGCTGGTCCCAGTGTTATTCTTGTTTTAAAGGTTTATTTTAACTATTCTAGTGAGGAATAATAGCTAAAATTAAGTTCAGTGATTTTCACTTTACCTAATATCTGGGTTTATTTAAATAAAATAATAAAATAATTTAGCATCCAGTTTTCAGTTTGAATTATAAAGAATGCCCACTTTAAGTTTTACTTTAAGTTCTTTATATGTAGACAATTTTCTGAAGTTAATTTTGCTGAGAACTTCTCTAGATAATGGTTTAACATATTTGTCAAGTTTAAAAGTTTAAATTTTGGGGGGACCAGCAGTTAGTGTAATGGCTATGTCGCTGGACTCCCATGTAGTCGACTGCGGTTTGCGTCCCAGACCCGGTACTTAAAACTCAAGCCAGGGGCGTGTGTGTGTGTGCCCAGGATCCCGAGGGGAGAATAGAGGAGAAGGGATTGTGGTGTGGCCATCTCCCCTGGGGGGGTGATTTCTCGCTTTCTGTCTCTCTGTCTCTTCTATCTGTCTGGCGAGCGCACGCGCCCTATAGCAAAAACCTCTAAAAAGAAAAAAAATTTAACTTTTTAACTTTTAACTTTAAACTTTAAAAATTACCACAGTGTATATACACCATAAAGAATTTCTCTGGTTCACTAAACTGCCTCTCACAGTTACTACTATGAATTTCAGTGCTTTGCAGGAGGAAGTTAAGCCAGTACTGCAGAAGTTAGGTCAAGACGAAGACATGGATGTCAAATACTTTGCACAGGAAGCTATAAGTGGTATGTATTTTTTTTTTTCTTAGAGCTTATGCTGTGGTTAATGGGAACTCACTTCTATTATGTGAGGGTGTTTAATGGGCAGGGTGATGAGTATCATGGGGACAGAGAGTGGTGAGTTCCTGGAATGCTGGTGCCTGTTTTTGGTCAGAACTCTTTTGGCCCACCATTCTCTTATAAGTGAGCAGGTTGTTTTCTCAGTTCCATGTCTAAGACTGAGTAGGAATAGGATTATTACTATAAGAACAGTTTTTAATTTGGATTGCAGTATTTTTTTAAAGTTTAACTTCTAATTGGCTGGGGAGAGTAAAGAAAGTGCTGCAAAGAGACGTTCTTAGTCTTATGGTTTCAATCATTGTTCTCATACTTAGTATTCACATAGATTGTTCATGAACTTCCTGTACCACTAACCCGATTCTGTTTGGAATTTTTCAGTTCTTGCACTGGCATAATAAGGAACAGAAGGGAAAAGCCTATATTAAATTCTTATCACAGATCTCTAGTCAATGTGTTCCTAAACTGGGTGGAGAAAAAAATGGGAAAGCTTCAAGATCTCATCCAAGCAAATGGCAGCAACTTAGAAGAAATCAAATTTCAGTGACTCGATTCTAAAGATGAAATGTTATTGTTTTTTTACATGTCTTCCTATGGGATGAGTAAGCCATTCTTACTGACCAATTCCTGAGACTTGGTACAGTCACCTCTTGTTTATCTGTTGAATTTTTTATCCAGCACCACCTGGGCTTCTGCATCCTCACAGTTAAATCAGGCTCCAACCACTTCATATTCTGGGCAAAGCCTGGATAGGTGGACCCAGATGTGGAGTGGAGTAATTCTTTTATGTTTACATGTGCCTGTATGTCTCTACATTCCAAAGTTAAATGCATGTGGTTTAAAGTCACTTATTAAGTTGTTGGCAAAGTCATGGTATGTTTTTCTGGTTTTTGGTGCAAAAATGTGTCATGACTTTCCCGACAATCCAGTATTTTATAAACAATTTAATTTGTGAGACTTGTAACTACAGCGAAATTTAACTACAGTGAAAGCCACATTTTCCTGGATTATGATGGTCTGTGTCAGTGTCTTCACATGAATGAAAGGAGAATATTGAAACTCAGGGCTTGTGTATTGGTTGGTTGGTTTTTTATTTGCTTGATTTTGACTTTAATCATGTCATTCAGAAACCTGAAGTATGGACATATCTTGCTGCTAACAAGTGATATTAAAACCTAACTGAATTTCAGTGGCTCACCACTGTGGGTGCATTAAAAATACCACTCTCTCTCTTCTGAAAAACTTGAACTGTAGTGCCTCCTAATAAGCAGGACTGCTGTTTCATTGTATGATTGCAGTTTTGTATTTCTAGTGAGTACAGGAACCAGTAGTATAACCCTGTGTGAATTTCCTGCTCTTCCTGGTTCTGTTGCTTTATCTGGTCCTTGCTACATTATACAGTAGTTTTCCAAACCGAAAGCTTCATTGCTTTTTTTTTTGGAATGAGTGATGCTGGAATCTTATCATTGGAAGTATTTATTTTTCTACTTTTAAAGTAACATCTTTTTTTTTCCTGCTGGCATTTAAGATAATAAGTTAAGGTAAAGAATTTACTGAAGCAAAATAATAGAATGTGAGGAAATGTATGTGAACTACTTAAATAGTTTAAAAATTCTCTTTAAAAAGCACCATTTGCCAGTTGATGTGCCCATTACCAATCACTCATTGCAATTATAATATCTTCCCTGATGTTCTCTAGGAGGTCACACATTTTAGTCAACGCCTTCAGTTTATACTTTATACTTCAGATATATACATACGTATTTGTTAGAGAACTTAACTACTGTTTTCTTTTAAATTTATTTACATTTTCCACTTAATCAAATTGCCTTGTCTAACAAATTTTAGTTAACGAGGTGTTATCATAGCTTATTTTTCTTTCAGTGCATCTTACTATGTGGTTTGCTTGGTCTGTTTTAGTTTTTGAATTGTTGAGTTCATTCACAGCCTCTGAAATCTAGTGAGCCTTATTTTGTTTTGTGAAGGCACAAAGACTCCTATAAAACTTTGTACATTAAACAATTGAGTGAAACTAAATTTGACTTACATATTTTTAAGTTTGCCTTAGGAAAACAGAATAGAAATTTAAAATCAAATTACCTACATTTTAAACTGCCAAATTACCTTGCAATAATTTCCATTTTGTGATATTTTGGGGCTAATGATGAAATGTTTTCCTAAGCAGAAAGCTTTTATACATTATCATTTTAGAATCTTAAACTATTATGCTGTAATATTTATATTTTAGTTTCATAATTTGTTATTTTTTATTGTCTGCAAATTATATTGCTTCCTCTTCATTGAATTTCCTATTTGAGAGACTGTTGTCTTGACTCTTGAAACAAATTTTGCACTGGACCCTTTGCTTTATTCTGTGGTTGGAAGTGCCATTGACTTGGGGATAGACTTTTTAAATGTCCTGTGTATTGCCTTGCAGAGCCCTGTGCGTTGACCTCCCCGCCTAAGACTGTAGAAGGGAGAGATAGTGAGCTGTGTTTAAGCATGGGTCAGGGAGCTCAGCAGGACCCTGTCTTTTGGGGTTACCCCCTCCCCCCACTTTAGGGACTTCATTGTTTCTGACTTAAGCAA